GCTTTGTTTCCATTCTTGTTTCTAGGAAACAGAACCTCAACTAGCTACTGGGAAGAGGAGAAAAAAAAAAAGAAAGGTGAAATAAACCAAAATGAAAGAAGAACAAGGAAAAAGGAATTGGAAAAAAAAAAAACTGGATTAAAGAAAAAAAAAGACAGACAAAGCATGCTATAAGAAATAACAGATTTCTGCTTGTTCCTCCAAGGATGACTTTGTCACTGCATAACACTAACAGAGATCAAATCAGGCAGTGCTGGGTTTATATTGCTTGTCAGCAGAACAGGCAAGCATGGATGGCAGATATAAGACTTTTGGAGAAGAAGGGGGGTAGTTTTCTCTCCTATGTTGTCTTGTCTCCCAAGACAACAGCCTTATATGAAAGCAGTGGCCTAAAATATCTAGAGCACTCTGTGCTTTGGCCTTCTTGGCAGACATGAAGAAAAAAAAGCCTCCTTCAACACAAGCATCATTTTAAAACAATACCAGAGCAGCAAAGCAGCCACTGGAGAAGTGATAGCCTCATTAGAGTCAAAGAAGAAAAAGGATAAAAAGTTCAAAAGTCAGTGAGAAGGAAACAAAATAATGATGCAGCATTCAGCCCATAGGCACCATTATGGAGTTGGAATGAGCTTATGTTGTATTGCTTCTTTCAGGAGAATCAGAATCACCAGAAAAGAGAAAATCCAGAAAAGCAATCATTTAATAAAAAGTAATAGTAATGCTTCAGACAAAAATAAGAGACCAGAGTAGGATTCTGATCAAAGAAAGCCTAAACTTCTAAGGCACAAGTCCTCATTCAAACAAACATTCACGTGCCTGGTTTGGATGAAGTCAGGATGCCTGTGGCAACTGTTTTGATCTCAACCAAATTAATCTAGGTGTGTTGAAAGTGTTCTTAGGAAAACAGAGTTGTTACGTAAGTTAGCTTTCAGGGGTACAATGAACTGGAGAAGCAAAACTTCTGCATGTCAGGATTACAAAACTTGAGTAGATGAGTAGAGAGCTGAGGAAATCACTGGAGTACCTTAAGCACCACTGAAGGATGACCAAGTTACATGGACAGGTTGTGAACTTTACCTAGTCTGCAAAAATCAGCCACATGTAAGAAGCTTCCCTGTCCAGTAAATTCAAATAGGAACAAAAATAAATACAGTCAATGAACAGTAATGCCAGGATTCTTGCAAATTATCCATGTGAGATAAATCCACTAGAAATAAGAATAGGAGGGAAAGACAAATACTAACAAACTGAGTTTGCATCACCATATAATAAGATCTGCACCCATACCTCCCTCATGTTTTGAGTTCTTAACAAATGCTATATTAAACCAGCACAAAAGGATAGTTTTGTGTGCAGCAAATCACACTGGCATCACAAGACAGGATAGCTATGGCACATAAGCAGCAAGTCACCTTGGTCATTACATTGTTACAAAAGATCTGGCATACTGCCTGGGCCATGAGATGATACTACCACCAAATGCGAACAAGAATTCCTCTGCGAAATCCTAAGGACCCACTTAGGCTTTTAATTATCCAAAGGAATCCCCAGGTGCCCTCATACTTGATTACATTCATGTTTGGCATGTACCAGCTCATCAGAGGAAGTCACTGTTAATAAAACTCACCTATCTTTAGCTATCCAAAAGTCCTAAACATTTCAGCTTAGTGCACTTGTTTTCTTCTCTCTCTCTTCTCCTCCTCCTCAAGTGCAAATATATTCAGTGTCAGAAAAGATGCAGAAGAAGAGGCGACACTCTGTAATCTATCTGCCTGTGTCTGAAGAGTTCAAGCATAAAAGATGCTGTCAAGGGCACATGCAGATCACAAACTTTCATTTAACAAAAAATATAGAAGTTTTAAGATAAGAGGAAGAAAACTCACGCTCCATAAGAGAACGGCCTTGTAAGATTCAGCTAGAGCCTCAACACACTGCAGAAACCCAAGGAGTCAAACTGTGATTTGTTCATCTGTATTTACCTTCAGGACTCTCTCAGAAGTCCACATGAGGCTCCCTCGGAAGCTCTTTTGCCTTAATATTGATACAGCTCAAATGGTGACATGGCTCTGAACCACAGCTAATGAATGCTAACAAGGAATAGAAACATTGCTGCCAAATGTTCCTGACTGAAGTGGGAATATACTGGGGAGAAGAGAATAGAGCAGACAGGATAACCTGTGGGCACTGCAACTCAGAAGTTCCTCTGACCAAACGCAGCTTAGACTGCATCCTCACCTTCTTTGGATCTTGAAAGGCCTAGACATAGCAATCAAAATGGCCTCTCCATAGATAGGACTGATGTCACTGCAAGGGCACTTGTCTTTGAAAGGTCATGGTGACTGGGAGAAATTCCTGAATAATGCTAGAAGGAAGATGTCATTTCCATCTTCAAGAAGTGCAAATAAGATGTCAGGAACTACAGGTTGGTCAGCCTCATCTCAATCTCTAAGAATGCGATAGAGCAACTAATCTTGGAAACAAATCCCAAGGAAACATGAAAAACAAGAAGATGATAAAGTAGTTAATATAAATTTATGAAGGGGAAATCATGCTTAACTAACATAACCTTCCACAATGAGGTGACTAACTTGGCATATAAGCAGGGAGCGGTGGATGTTGTTTACCTTGACTTTAGTAAGGCCTTTGGCATTGTCTCCCATAGCATTATTACAGACAAGTTGACAGAGTACAGGTTAGGTAAGTGCACAGCAAAGTAGACTGAAAACTGGGTGAATGTCCAGGCCCAGAGGGTTGTGATCAGCAGCACCAAGTCTAGTTGGAGGCAAGTCAGTAGTGATACACCCCAGTAGTTGATAAAGAGGCCGTTACTGTTTTATGTCCGTATTAATTAGCTGGACAACAAGCAAGAGTGCACACTCTGCAAGTTCACAGATGATACAAAACCAGGAGGAGTGGCTGACACAGCAGAGTGCTGTTCTGTCGTTCTAAGCAACCTGGACAAGCTGAAGAATTGAGCCAGTGGGAACCTAATAAAGTTCAACAAATGGAAATGCCAAGTCCTGCACCAAGAGAAGAATAATCCCATGGAACCAGTACGTGATGGAGATTTAGGGGCTGCAAAACAGTTCTAAGAAGATCAACTACGGGGTCCTGGTGAACAATCAGACCAAAAGCCAGCATTGTACCCTTGCGATGAAGAAGGTCAATATTCTTCTGCGATCCACTAGGAATAACAGTGCAAACAACTCAAGGGAGGAGATCCTTTCCCCCTGCTCACCTCTGGTCAGTCCAAACCTCAGGAGTATGTCCAGTCCTGCACTCTCCCATGTAAGAAAAATACAGACTTACTGGAACAAGTCCAGTATAGGTCCACAAAGGTAACTGAGAAGTTGGAGCATCTTTTATATGAGGAGAGACTGTTCAGTATGGAGAATACTCAAGAGAATTTTAATCAATGTGTAGGAACACTACATGGAAGGGAAGGAAGAACAGGGAGCCAGACTCAGTAGTGCCCAGAGAAGGAACAATAGACAATGGACAGAAATGAAAACAGATTAAATTTTATTTGAACAAGAACAGAAAAAAAAATCCACTGCATAAGTAACCAAACACTGGTAACGTGCTGCCCAGAAAGGCTGTGGTGGAGATATTCAAAAGCTGCCTGGACATGGTGCTGGACAGTCTGCTCTAGCTGACCCTGCTTCAGGAAGTCACCTCACAATGATCCTGTGATTCTGTGAACCAGGATATCGGTGAGAAAGGGCAAAAATTTCTAGCCAGTTTTATTGATCCTATGTCTTATTTCAGCAAGAAATACAGTATCCTTAGATGTTGCTAGCCTGTTTCTTGTGTGCTTATAAACACCATACATAATTCTCATGTAAATTCTTCTAATTCCACCTTCTACCATGTGGAGAGTATGCCTATGCAACACCACCAGGAGATACCACCCTCCCAGTTCTCCTATAGCTTACTGACCAGCAGAATAATCTAGCTTTGAAGAACAACCAAGCTCACGTGGTCTTCAGCAATCCAGTTTAGAGACAGATAAAGTATCTCCACGTAGCACTACATTGGGCAGTGAAGACTTTTCCTGAAGAATCATTCTTCTGTCTTTGCAGTTTATTTTGACTGTTATAGCTTTCCATCTAAGCCACAGTCATTCCCCATCTCAATGGCTATGTCTCCACTAGCAGGGTAAACATCCTACAGAAAATGCTTTTCCTCCCTTGCTTTTTCAATATACCATCTATTATGAGATCTCAATCTGACTCTTTCACACTTTCCCTTTAAAGTTTTCAGGTGCTACTTTCCTTCACATGAGTCTCATCCCACAATCCAGCAATTCTAATAGGATTTGCTCCTTTACAGACACACTCTGAATGAGCTCTACCTTCAGCAAGATCAGGATCCGGTCCAGAACGTCTACAATTTTGCTAAACATGCAACTCACAAAGCCACCTGTACAGCCCTCAGCTATCTCCCTCTAAATAGCTCTTTTGCTGTCTAATGTCTCCATCTAGATATCTCAATTTGCAAATTTGGTTGGAAGCACTTCAAAAAACCCATAAGCAAAGGGCTGCCAACATGAAGCCTAAGTTCTTTCTTCACACTGGATAAGGAACAAGTCATAAACGGCAAGGCATGTACAACAAGGGTTTGTCAACTCACTGAAAGCAGCATTTGCTCCATTAGGTACTCACAGGCTTGAGCATCCATCCCATTGAGTTATAAGCAAGGTCAGCAAGCTACAAAACATAGTTTAAAAGCCCACAATGTATTTAACACCTAGCTTAGAGCAAGAGGAGGGAAAGGGATTCCATAAAAAGGATATCATTAAAACTTGGCAGGTAAGATGCAGTTCTTCTCCTTTGCTAATTACACTAGCAGTGCTGATGCTCATAATTGACCTCTATGTTAAGAGACTAAGGAATGGTGAATTCTATCTATAGAAGACCGCACTGGAAACACCCTGGATCTTATACTGTCATTCCAGTCTTTGTTAATATCAGCTTTAAAGAACATGGTTAGTGACTCACCCAGCTGGATAAGCAACGAGGCCAGTTCTGGGGTCGCAGGCTAATCCTCTGCCTCCCGACACAGTTATCCCCAGCACCTTCTCCAAAGTCACCTAGAGCATGTGAAAAAGAAAAGAAGTAGTATTGTGAGATATGAGTACAGTTCAAATGGACCCATATGCAGATACTAACAGTCTGGCACTGAGAAGAATCATATCATATCTCCTAGAAATTCACTGACAAGCACCCAGGCACAGAGTAAGGTTAAAGAAGTTATATTTTCAACATAGGCACAGTAAAATACTGCTGAAGTACAGAGTTATTGATCTACTGATTATTTCTCTGTGCCAAAGCACTGCCACATATTGTAGAGGACAGCAAGCAATAACTAGTATGGAGCGAGAAGCTGGGACGCACATTCACTGCCCTGTGATTTCCACCTTCCTACCACAAGCAGCAAAATACTTTCTCTACAGTTCTTTCCCTGGAAGTCTTTTCCAGGTTGACCCATTCTCTTTATCTTCTCCATCCACTGGTAGATGGTGCAGTGTGGTCCCAATTCCACATTCCTAGGTACTGAATAGCCATTTTTTCCACACAGTGTTTAAACTAGAAACCACATCCAGTGGACCAGCACTCCCCATGAATCTCAAGAGAGAACAGCTCATATTATTGGGTTAAAAAACATCACATACCAATGACCTATTCAACAGACAATAATTCAGAATGCTTGCTTTGCCCCCACGCAAAGATCTCAACTATTTTAGGAAATAAAAGACAACTGGATAGAACTACTTGGAAGATACAGAAATTCATAACCAGACCTCTGCGACAAGCAGCTGGCATAAGCAAATACAAGAACTGCCTGGACAAGGGAGAATAAGACTTTTCAGGGAGCACACTCCGGGACAGGAAGCATCAGAATTCAGCAGTTTCCCAAAACAAAAGATTGAAGTGGGATTACACTGCACAAAATCTGGTATGTGGCATGAAAGGACTCAATATCTGAACATAAACCAGTTTTTTTTGTCTTGGGATTCTTCTGACAGACACAAATTACTCTCTTTTGCATTTGCACAGCTCAATCTTATTTATTATATATTTTATGCATACATTCCTCTGCAGGACTGCTGTCTCTGCCAAATTCATGGATTTTACTGGGTCACAGTCTTCTGTTTTCAATTATTATCATCTAAATTGTATTTGGTTAAAGCCTTAAGGCATGGACGCTGCATAAGAAGGCACCATTGTAAAATTACCACTATCACTAATGGCTGCCCTGAAGATTAACATCTTGTATTTATATCAACATGGAGTAGAAAAGGTAAGGGCAGAGCAGGCTTCCCCACGCTACCCTGGCAACACAGCTTATCACACTAAGAATTCAGCTGTAGGGTGAAGAAATTAGTCTCATGGCTCAGGTCACTGGAGAAGGTAACAAAAGTAAGCCCACTTAGGGAGATAGGTGGCTGCCTTGCTTCAACAGGTAAAGCAGGGCCATGGCACCAGCAGCTCAGTTAAAACAGGCCATCCATGCCTCAGTGATTTTCAGTTTGGACTGATTTCAAACCCATGACACTGAAAATGGAAGACATTATACCCCACTCTCTGGAGAACTCAGTGTATTTTTCCCTTAATAATAACATATCCCAGATACCTTGAGACAGAGTGAGAGAACACCAATTGTCACCTTTCCTCATAAAATAAGTATCTCTGGAATCATGACTTTTGTAAAATTCATCAGGGTTTACGTTTAGTACAAGAACATACAATTAAAAATGCATTTATCAATTCACCACTATAGCAAGGAAATAATTTAATGTTCCTTAAAAAAGTGAGGGTGAACTAAAGGAAGCTAGGAGGATGCCTGCTCTTCCAGGTTTGTTACAATACTTCAACACAGGGTTTAGCTTCGCAAATGCACAGAAAGAAGAATTTGCTGAGATTCAAGCTCATATCATCAGTCCCCAACCCATAACATAAAGAGAGGTTTAAATTCCCATAGAAACTGCATACTTGACAGCAAAAGAGGAAATGGAAGAGACATGTGCCATTCAAGTATTCCAATCTAGATACTTGATGCTGTCAGCAAACATCAAATTTAGCAATGCTGTGCTCACACCGCTCAGCACAGGCTTTAGCTCAGGCTGGCTGTAATCACAACTGTCCTAAAAGGCACTGCTTGACCTTGGTTATGCAGCTAATAGCATTCAGCAGCAGTTCAGCAACCTACTTTCACCACAGGTATGTTTTTCCCTCTGCAAGGACACGTTGTCCCTGCAGTGCCATATTACACTGCCACTGAGCTGAACCTGCACCCACCTGCTCCTGAGACTCCGCCGTTCCTTCTTCCCTTATCCCAATCAACTCCCACCCTTCCCTTGCACCAGCACTGACATGACAACTGCCTCCCCAGCAAGCCAAACAAGCAAAACAAAATGTGTTTTATGGGTTTTGGTTTTGTTCTCTGTTTGCCAGCCTGGGAAAGTCACAGGGAGCTCAAAAACAGGGAAAAGAAGAACTGGCCCCTTTTACTGGCTACTAGATCTGTCTACCTGTACCACCAAAATCCCTTCTGCACATGGCATTATGGAAAAAAATCCACTCCCTCCTAGTTTTGAGGAGTGGGAGAAACTGACCAAGAGCACTAACTCATTCATCTTGGTACTATCACCCCATCACGCTTTCTCCAGCTTCCTCTCTTGCTTTAGAGCTGCAGGGGCCCCAGGCTGCTCAGCCAACAAACTGTACTTGTAGTTATAAGAGGTGGAAAGTCTACCTTTCTTACAAGGCCAGCATTCAGCTTAACACAAAAGGTGTAGCTCAGTCTTCAGCTCTTTCAACCACCAGTCATCTGGCCTCCAAAAGACCCTTAGTCCTATTAGAAAAAGACAACCACCACCAAGGTCATACTGCAGATGTTGCTAGATCTATTGCCACAGAAACGAATACCTGTATCAAGAGATCCACAATGAACTTTCTGAAAAAGATTCTCCCTCTTTTTCTCCTAGGCTTAGCTTTAAAACTTGCCTTGTGTAAATTATCTGAAAGACAACTCTATAAGCCTCATTCAAATGGACATTTTTACAACACTTCAGCATGTGTAGTAATAATCCTTAGGTGTTAAAAACAACTTGTCTCTAAAAGGAGGATAAACACATTTAAAATTGGGCCTTGTGAAACTTGTGAGCCCATTCCCACCTCCCTGCCCAGAAGGCACCATAGCTTTATCTCCATGATCAACCTCCAGCCTAGGTGACATGAGGGCTCAAGAGAGTCAATCACTTGTCACAAAACGTGACAGAAGAATAAACAAACTTCAGAGGAGGGAAAAAAAAAAAAAAAAGCAGCAATGCAGTATAGACTGGATTCCTCTCAACTTGCCAGATAAAATGAATGATTAGTATAGTTAATTAGGGCAGAGCACACACTATCATTTATTTCCAAATCTCACATAAAGATCTGCTATCAAAAGGCAAATAAGTCAAGATAGGTCTGACATTATGCCACTTTTGAAGTTCTGGCAAAATGAGGTAGGAATTCACACAGCAAACTCAGTTTCCCAGTTCCCAGACAGACACTGCCATTCATATAAGTCATCAGGTAGTAGTACTTCAGCTTATCCCAGTCACAAAAAAATTCCCTGATCTCTTTCCAACTCTGATCTGAGCTAACCACAGCACTAAAGAGTGCCATTGCAGACCTGGAAAACCGGTGGGTTTGTTACCAATAATAGCTCCCACACTGGCCCAAATTGCTTCCCACAATCATCAGACGTGTCCTTACTCGCTCAGGTCATCACATCCAATAAATAGGCCACCTCACCTCCCTCACCCAAGCCAGGAAACAATTGCAAGACAAAACCCGTAATTCTGTGCCCCTAAATTAAAGGCTCAGAAAGGAGGCTGGCTATCCACATTTGTTACCTCATCCTGAGGCTTCTATTAATAGTATTTGGCATTTTCAGTCACAGTTCTCTATGCGATTTGCAAGTGCTATCAAATGGAATCACATGCAATATGCTTCTAGAGTTCATTTTGCATTGTAATTACCTGTTAACCACCTCATCTCCATTTCTTTAACATCAACTTTCCCCCCCTCCCCCCAAATTTGGAGGTTCAAGGCACACTCATAGACAACAAAAATAGAAAACAGAAAAATAGAAAAGTGTTCAAGTATGAACACTTGTCTTGCAACTCCCAATATCCATTCATTTTACACACAAATCTAAATTTAGCTGCTCAGAGTTGCACAGATGGGTAAAGAAATTTCACTGCCTAAGTAGGTCACCCTATTCCTTCCACTTCAGAACCCAAGATCATTAGGAAGCTCCCACAGCCCCTCTACCTGGTAAGATCAGACCAGCAGAGTCTTGAACTGCAAAACCAAAAGGTATTCAATACAGCCAGGCCTTGCAGTAGAGGGGAAACCTTGCTGCAGTGCAATCCTCACTGGAACTTAAAGGGCAGGTCTGAGTTGCTTCCCTCAGGCATGGTTCCCCCAAAGTCAAGGGAGAGCCCACACCTGTGTGACAAAACCATACTACCTTTGCTTTCCTGCTGGCATTTAGATAATCCTTTCTGAAAGGCTGGTCTAAATTAGCCCAACAGCTTCACCTGTCTTTTCAGGAAACAAGGCATTTGACCAGCAGCTCCTGGCTCTCAGAGTATGAGTTTCTTACTCATTCCAGTTCTTTCTGCTGTTTTGGGGAAGTTGAAAGACAAACCACGAGCAATTGTTTCCACGTGTCAAAAGGACAACACAGAAATCCTTTAAGGATCAGCTCAACATCCCCCATCCTGCTCTTTAGCTCATAGTAAACACTCTCCTCTTCCCTACAGTTTGCATCCCTCTGGGACCATCTACATGTTCACATTTGGTCAGTGCACCTAGGCCAGATGGTCCTAGAGACTAGTAGCAGGTCTCCAGTCATTCTTTGAAAAATGCCTACTGAGCACAGTAATAATTTCCACAAAAAAATGGATGCCAAAGAAGGCAAACCAGCCAGTGACACTGCTTCCTGATCTACAGCTCACTAGCTCTCTCCCTGATGCTGTTTTGCTCCTGATGATAGCTTGCCACCACTCTTTTTGCCTGCTTGCCCACCAGCAGA